GGCCCAGGATCCTTTGACACTGCTCGAGTTGCATTGCCCCCTCTTCCTCGATGCACGACCAGTCAACGGAATTAGAAACAAACAAACAAACTTCAGCCTGGTTTATATGCTGGTACCACCCCAAAGTGAAGAGCTAAAGGGGGACCTGGCTGTCTCAATCGGAATAGCATGTGACTCTTGATCTTGGGGTTGTGAGTTCAAGCCCCACATTGGGTGCAAAGATTACTAAAAAAAATAAATAGGGGCACCTGGGTGGCTCAGTCAGTTAAGTGTCAGACTCTTGATCTCAGCTCAGGTCTTGATCTTAGGGTTATGAGTTCAAGCCCAGTGTGGAGCCTACTTAAAAAAAAAATCTTTTTAAATGAATCAATAAACAAACTTCAAAAGTGAAGAGCTATAGCATTATGGCTCCCTCAGGAGTGACACTGAAGGACAATGGTGAAGGAAACTTCTCTCAGTGAAGGAAAAAGACTAGTCTTAGTGGGTAGTACATTTGGTTGTCTACTCTTTGGAGTGAGAAATGGCCAGAGGTACAGATCTACCCTGCTTCAAGGGCAGTTACTAACGGTTTGGCTGGATGGTCAGAGACCAGAAAGAACAAGATTGGAAGACTGGTAGCAAGGAAGTCTGGGGAAGAGATGTGTGAACAAAATGCTGAGAATGGGCTCAGATGGTGAATGCCCACCAAAGGCGTCTTTCCCTGTTCACCCCAGTGCTTGCTCAATGGTCTCTTGAACCAAGTGGTCATGTTGGTAGGCCTGGAGGCTGTGAATGAGCTCAACAACATAGATTTCTCATCAAGGCCGATCTGGTTAATACAATTGCTGAATGCTAACATCTCAGCAGCAGAGCGCAACACTGAGTCCCTGATATGTACTATTCCCTGGGAGAACCAGCCAGACATCTGATGGCAGGTTAATTATATTGGACCTCTTTCATCACAGGGGGTGTATAGATTTGTCCTCCCTGAAATAGTCATATTCCGGACATGGATTTGCCTTCTTTGCTCATAATACTTTGCCAGCACCACCTTTGGTGGATTCACAGAATGCCTTACCCATAGTTGTAGCATTCCCTATAGCATTCTGTCTAATCAAGGAACTTACTTCATAGCAAAGAAAGTGCAATAATGGGCTTGTGCTCATGGAATTAAGTGGTCTTACCATATACTCCATCACCTAGAAGCAGATGCCTATTTGAAACATGGAAGGGCTTACTGAAGACTCACAGCAATGGTTGGGAGACAACACTGGAAGAACAGAGCTCTGTCTTACCAGATGTCAATAGATGCTTTGAATCAGAGACCGTTATATGGTGTCGTCTTCCCCACAGCCAGAGTATAGGATTCAGACGTCATGGGGTGGAAGTAGCGTGGCTCTTTCACTATTACACCTACTAACCCCCTCACAGAATTTTTGTTTCTCCCAGCAAATTTGAGCTCTGCTGGTTTGAAGGACTTATTTCCCAGAGGGAGAATGTTTCTACCAGTGAACACAATTGTTTCATTGAACTGGAAGATGAGACTATCACTTGGTCATCTGGGAACCAAGAGGTTCAAAGATTACTCAACTGGCTGGTGTGATTGATCCTGATAACCTAGAAGAAATTTGGGCTGCTGGTGCTCACTGGGATTGGAGAGCTATTTCTGGAACCCAGGGGATTCTCTGGGCACCACTTAGTACTTCCATGCCTTATAGTAAATGTTAATAGAAACATGTAGCACCCAAAAAAGGCGGGGCAATTGAGAGCTCAGACCTTGAGTTGGAAATGAAGTTTGGGTCACTTTACCAGATAAAGAACCCTGACTATCTGAGATTCTGGCTAAGGGCAGGGGAAATACAGAATGAGTAGTGGAAGCAGTTCCTAAATATCAATTATGGCTTCTTGTCCAATTACAGAAACAAGGACTGAATTAACATATTTTCTATTTGCTTGTTTTAGACAAACAATTATGGCTTCTTTTTTTCTTTTTTAAAGATTTTATTTATTTATTTGACAGACACTCAGCGAGAGAGGGAACACAAGCAGAGGGAGTGGGAGAGGGAGAAGCAGGCTCCCCGCTGAGCAGGGAGCCCGATGCGGGGCTCGATCCCAGGACCCTGAGATCATGACCTGAGCTGAAGGCAGGCGCGTAACGATGGAGCCATGCAGGCGCCCGTCTGGCTTCTTGACCAATCACAGAAACAAGGACTGAATTGACATATTTTCTATTTGTTTGTTTTAGATATGTTTATTTGTCTAAGTTAAGCATTTTATTCATCTCTTTCTTCTCATATTTATGTTATCATAGAAGTTGTTAGACATTAACTTCACAATGTAGTCTTTAGGTAACAGAATATTCAGTGGGACTATGGCTGAGTTTGAGGAGTAGACAGTGTAGCCAGAGATGAGCACCATGACTTGTGGTCTGGTTGAGGAGCTGTGAAGAGTTCTGTGTGTGTAGTCTGACTATAGCCTCCCTACCCCAACCTCACTCCCACCCATAAATATTTGTCCAATTTCTTGGATGTTTTAAGGCAGGGTAGCAAATTCATACATTAAGAGTGGTCAGGCAGGGGGGCGCCTGGGTGGCTCAGTTGGTTAAGCGACTGCCTTCGGCTCAGGTCATGATCCTGGAGTCCCGGGATCGAGTCCCGCATCGGGCTCCCTGCTCAGCGGGGAGTCTGCTTCTCCCTCTGACCCTCCCCCCTCTCATGCTCCCTGTCTCTCATTCTCTCTCTCAAATAAATAAATAAAATCTTTAAAAAAAAAAAAGTGGTCAGACAGGTAAGGAAATGAGTAGTGAGAATGCAGGTCTCACCTGGACAGGGGAACAATATTCAGCTTAAGATGATTGTTGCCCTGTGACAATCAAATGTAGCTTTAATTTAAATAAACAAATACATATCATGTGGGACAAACAAAAGATGTCTTCTAGGTTGTTTCAATCTCTACTTTTTTTTTAAGATTTTAAAGTAATCTATGTTCTCTGTCTCTCTCAAATAAATAAATAAATAAATAAATAAATAAATAAATAAATAAATAAATTCTTTTAAAAAGGGTGGGGGGAGGCTCCTGGGTGGCTTAGTCAGTTAAGCGTCTTCCCCCCAGCCCCTGGAAACCACCATTCTACTTTCTGTCTCTATGATGGGACTACTCTAAGTACATCATATAAGTGGTATCATATAGTATTTGTCTTTTTGTGACTGGCTTATTTTACATGGCATAGTGTCCTCAAGTTCATTCATGTTGTAGCATAAGTCAGAATTTCCTTCCTTTCTGAATAATAGTCAATCATCCATTGATGAACATTTGGGTTGCTTCCACATTTTAATTATTGTGCCTAATACTGCTGTGAACGGGGGTGTACAAATATCTCTTAAGATCTTGCTTTCTATTGTTTTGGGTATACATCCAAAAGTAGACTGCTGAATGATATGGTAATTCTATATTAAATTTTTTGAGGAACTTCCATATTGCTTTCCACGGGGGCTGCACCATTTTTACATTCCCACCGGGAGAGTACAGGGTTCTAATTTTTCTACATCCTTGTTTTGTTTTTTGATAGTAGCCATCCTAATGGGGGTGAAGCGGTAGCCCATTGTAGTTTTGATTTGCATTTACCCAGTGGAATCTATTGGCCTTTATATTAAAATGAACTTGGTTTAATTTTTCTTTTTTCTTTTTTTAATTTTTCTTTTTAAGAAAGTGAACGACACCTCTTGAAGTAAATGAAAGCACTCTGGTCTTTGGCAAAGCTCGTGTTTAAAATTTTATCTTTAGGGCGCCTGGGTGGCTCAGTAGGTTAAGCGTCTACCTTCGGCTCAGGTCCTGATCCCAGGGTCCTGGGATTGGGTCGGTGCATCGGGGGCTCCCTGCTCAGCGGGGGGGGGGGGGGGGGGAGGGGGCTGCTTCTCCTTCTACCCCTCCCCCCTGCTTGTGATCTCGCTCTCTCTCTCGCTCTCTCTCTCGCTCTCTCAGGTAAATAAAATATTTAAAAAAAATAAAATCTTGGGGCGCCTGGGTGGCTCAGTCGTTAAGTGTCTGCCTTTGGCTCGGGTCATGATCTCAAGGTCCTGGGATTGAGCCCCGCATCAGGCTCCCTGCTCCGCGGGAAGCCTGCTTCTCCCTCTCCCACGCCCCCTGCTTGTGTTCCCTCTCTCACTGTGTCTCTCTCTGTCAAATAAATAAATAAAATCTTTAAAAAAATTAATAAAATCTTATCTTTAACCTCTTAATAAGGTGAAGAGATGACTTGTGGGAGTCTTGTTTTTTGCCATCAGTGACCCCCCTGAACCCCCCAGGGAAAATGATATATATATATACATCTTTCCACAATCATCTAAGTATTTCAGGATATTAATGGTGTACTTAAATTAGCATACCAACAACCTAGGTAATGATTTATTAAGAGCATAGCTCAGATAGTGAACCAACTACAGTTGTATGTGTGTGTGTTTATAGGTCTGGGATTTATGCTAGTTTGTAAAGTGTAATCCTTTAGGCAGGATATAGAAACATCTCTAAAGGACTGATCCCTAATATCTTCATTGCACATCAGTTCATAGTTTACAAAGGTTTCCGTATACAGGATCTCATGTGATTCTCATAAAAATCGAGGGAATTAAGCAGGGCAGGTATCATCTGAATTTACTAATGCAGAAACAGACTTACCAAAATCAAAGAACTAGCCATGGGCCACACAGCTAGTGATTGGCTGACATATTTTCAAAATTAAGATCCTGGCAAAGAGGGAGTCCGTGTTTTAACCCGTGTAATAGCACATAATGTAAGCTCACTGGGTATTTGTTGAGTGTGTCTTGTCAGCTGATTTCAGAGTTTTTTTCCACTCTACTATGGAAGTCCATACCATAAAGCCAAATTCTTAACTGAAACCAGTAGATGAGGAAGAAGAGTGGGAGAGGGAAAGGATGGGAGAAGGTAGGAGGTTGGGGATGGAATAAGGGGTGGGGATATTCCCAGGAGAATGAGGAAATTGGAGATGGAGGCAGAACTTCTGGAAATGTCAGTGTTTATTAAACATTTAAGGACACTGGGGGTTTGTGAAGAAATATACAGAATGTAGAAAAATCCTAACAATCCCCTATGGCTGGGAGTGCAGCCTCTCCCCTCCCCCCCCCCATTTCCCATTTGTTTCTCCTTTCTCTTTGGTTGCTTAAAAGCCATTTCTTAAGGGTTATTTGGCCCCTCCTCAATCCTCTGACCTGTGAGGATTCTTTGCCTCTCTCTGTCTCTCCTTCCCCATGACCTTGAGTCCCAGAACAGTGCTCCAGAGTGGTCAGGGGCACCAATCCTGTAGTTGAGGACTGAGCATCAGGGGCCCCTCTGCTTGGGCTGGCTCTCCATTAAGGCTATAATGGGGAGTGGGGAATTGCAAAAACCACATGACGTCATTGGTACTCAGTCATGGGGGGAGGGTACAGGCAAACAAACAAAAAAGAATGGATTAAAAAATAAAAAATAACTAACAACCTAAATAAACCCTGAAGGAGAGTCTGATCTGGACGATCTGGATGTTAGCTAGCTGGGAGGACACAGTATGGAGCTGGGCCACCTGATGGAGGGGAGGGAGGGTCAGAAAGGAAAGCGAGGGAGGGACACGCTGGGTGGTGCAAGGGATGGAAAGGCCAGGTGGCCTGGGGTTGAGGCACAGGGTATCAAGGTCCCTTTCTTCTCGGTGCCGGAGGGACAGGCACCAAACACACAGTCCTTGGGGCTGGTGAAGGGTAGGGTCAGGCCCTGGGCTCCCAGCAAGCCGGGGAAGGAAGGTGGGGGAAAATAGGAAGTGCCCGGGAATGAAGTTTGGAATGAAACTTACATCTCAAAGGCTGCTGAGGGCAGGGCGGGGGCTGGGGAGCTAAGGAGGAAAGCACCTAGACGGGGGCTAAGAGGAGCCCAGGTCCCCCTGCTCTGGCAGGGCCCGGGGGGTGGTCACTTGTCTGAGTCCAGGCCCATCATGTTCTTGAGGGCGTTCTTGAGGCTGGTTCTGCTGGGGGACTTGACCGCAGGCCGGAGTTCCGAGCTCTGCTCATCCTTCCGTAGCTCCATCTCAATGACCACCACCTGAGAACCTTTGGTGGACTCCGGACCTGCCCCCCGACCCCCCGCCCGGCCCGCTAACCGCTATTTCTTATCCTTGCGAGACTCCCCCAGCCCCTTGGACTTCTTTTCACTGGCCGCCTTGGTGCTTCTGCTGTGATCCAGCATGGCATACAGCACTGGCGTCTGCAGGGAGGGGTCGCGCGTCAGCGGCCGGGTCTGCTGGGGCCTGACTCCTCCCACCCCACCCCTCACTGCTGCCCCGCAGCGCCCCAGCTCGGCCGGGCCCCGGCTCCCACTCACCTGCCGGCCGCGCTTGGACGAGTCTTTCGCGGCCTTATGCAACTTCCCCTTCTCCATGGCACTGCAGGGAAAGGGGTTGCTGTCGGTCTGCCCCCTCCAGAGCAGCTACAGCCTCCTCTTCCTTTTGCCCCCCCTCCCCCCCCACTGGAGCGTCTCTGTCCAGATGGGCAGCAGGCTCCCCTTACCTGAGCCTCCTCTGCAGGGCCGCCTGTCTGCGTAGCCAGCAGAACCGAATCACATAGAAAAGCAGGAGTAGCAACAACACGACCCCTATGACTCCCCCGATCACGGCTCCCAGGACTATCCCGTACCTGGTTGGCACTAGGAGGGGAGGGAAAAGAAGTAAAGGAGTGAGCAGGGCCATGCCCCTTTGGGTCTTAGCCCCACACCTGTCGCCTGCTGTTGGGGATGTACAGCTCTCAGCCAAGGCTGCCTTCCGCCCACCCTGCCAGAGCCTGAAGGACAATCGCCCAGGCGTTTTGCCCCTTCCCCCAGCCCCCCAGTCCTCCCCGATACCCACCCCATTGCGTATTCCCAGACGCCCTCACACCTTTTTCAAAGACATAGAGTGTGACCTGAGAGGTCTTGCCCACTATGTCTGGTGGGTTTTTGACGTCACAGGTGAAGGTGCCATTGTCACTGTAGTCCAGGTTGTGTATGACAATAGAGCCATCCTTCCAGTGAGGGTCCCCTACCCACTGGATGCGCTCCTTGAAGGTCCCCACCTCGTCAATGTAGGGTTGTCCCTTTGCGTAGTGGAAGATCTATGAGGAATGAGGAGAAGTATGTGAGTGTAGCCTCAGGGTAAGGGATCCTGAGCTGGAGAGGGAAGTTGGGGGTGGGGAGAGAATGTGGATGGGCCCTAGTCAGATTGCCGCTTACCTTGCCAAACGTAGGGTTATGGCTCCTGAAGGATCTCCCCTCCTTTGCCCAAGTGCTCTTTTCTATTGTTCTTCGAAGCCAGCCTTTCGTTATCCAATCCCGGGACAACCCCCCCCCCCCCCCGGCCGCCCTGACCCCGGCAGGCACTCACCGAGATGGCATCACGGCCCCCTTCGGGCTGGTAGCGCCAGGTAAAGGAGATGTCATCTGAGACCCACTCACTGGACCAGAAGGAGCAGTGCAGGGTCACCCGGGAGCCCACAGCACCGTGGACCTCCCTGTCCGTGTAAACCACAATGGCCTGGGCTGGGGGGAGCACTGCGAGCAGAGAGGGGAATCAGATGCACAGGTGTGCTCAATGAGGCACATAGAGGAAGTGACACCAATAGCAAGTCAAGAGCTGAGTCAGAGGCCATAGCAAAGCTGGGGAAGCAATGATCAACTCTCAAGCCCAAATCTCTCTGGGCTGACTGAATAATTGGGTGGTAACACTGTGTTGGTTCAAGCTCTTTAGCATGTTCATTAAAGGAAATGAAATCAGCAGTAACAGACCTCTCTTGAGGATTTCCAGAAGTTGGATTCTGTCTCCACGTCTCACTTTCCCTTTGGGTCAGTATTTAACTCTTAAGTCACCCCTTAGATGTAGGCTTTAAGGTTTTTAAAATTTATTATAAGTTTACAGTACTACATTTTGCATTCTTTTTATAAACTATTCAAACCATACAGATAAAGCTAGAGTTCCTCTTAACACACCCCCCCAACCAACTCCTTTCCTGTAGTCCCCTCTCCCAATTGACTGTTAATCAATTTAGTGCGTAACCGTTTTCTATGTATCAGGTGTAATATAAACTCAACAAACTCAAGATGTACATGTGCTTATATGAAATAATTTTGTTTTATGGATCTTTCTTTTCTTTTGACATACATTGCATCATATTCTACTTGTTTTTTTTCACTTAAGAATATTTATATAGAATCTATCATCTATCTATCTATCTATCTATCTATCTATCTATCTATCTATCTATATCATCTATCTATCTATCTATCGGTTGGTCGACTGGAGCTTCCCATGTTGATTCATAGAGATCAATCTTATTTTTAACAGCTGTATAGTATTTCACAGCATCACAAACTCAAATTTCTTGCAAAAAAAATGAAAATAACTAAAGAATGTTTTTTCCTGGCTCAACTGTCCTCACTGCTGAATCCCTAGTTGCCATACAGCTTGCTATTGACTGGGAGGTCAGGGAGAGAAGGATCTTTTACCCCTCTCAGGGGAAGCTGGGTACAGAGGAAGACCCCTGAGCCCAGAGCTCAGATGACTCTGCATGTGAGCCCTCTGTGGTTTGACCCTCCTCACCCTCCTCTTGGCCATTCTGGCCCAGTGCCACTCCCAAGACTCACCCACACAAGGAAGGCCATTCCAGGGAGATTATGTGTGTGGGCTGGCCCTGGGTGGGGGCAACTGTAGACCCTTTTGTTCTATGGGAGGGGGAGGAAGCAACCAAACAAACAGGGACCCATTGTCTGACCAATGTTGGGGGCTTATGCCATCCCCTACCCCTTAGCCCCCCCCCCACTCCTGCTCCATAGTCTCAAATCTCCCACCTCAGCATGCAATATCAGTGACTCACTTCTTAGAGCTCTCTTGGGAAACCCAAATGCAGCAACGAAAGTTATTCATTGGATCTAACTTCTATTCCTCCTGTTCTAACATCCACCACTGCCCTTCAGTTCTGCTCAACGGTTCTATGGTTGGGACAGGTTCTGGGACAGAACTCTCTTCCTTATTCTCCAAGACTGCCTCTCCCCATTTCCCTCACTATAACCTTCTCTAACTCCCTATCTTTAACATTTTCTCTGGGTGTCCCAGAGTAGTCCAGTACAACACCCAGAAGAGTATGGGTTCTGGGTTTAGGACTCAAAGAGCTGACAGCAGAGAACCTTGGATATTCTGAGCAGTTCTCTCTCACCCTCAGTTTGCCTACTGCTTATCTATGGTACTAGGCTTTGGGGCAGTTTGGAGAAGGGAAGCATCCATTTGAATAACACTACTTTGACCTCCTCTTGCTCACCCAACATCTGCCATGGGGTAAAGAAGGGGTTGGTCAACTTTTGAAGGAAGACAACTTTAGATGGACAAGATCTTAGAATCTCATAGAATCTCCCTTCTACTCCACTCACCCACATAATAGACAATGGATCCACAGGGAGAAATGGAGGCACCAAGAGACAAAGGATTGGAAGAGTTGGAACCACAAACCTTGGGCTCCTTCCTTAGATCACATTCCCTGACTTTTCTGTTGAGGGAAACTAAGGTTAAGTACCTCACACACTACTAGGGAATGAGTAGGGGCCAGAACCCAGGTGTCTGATCCTATTCCCTACCACGCGATAACACCGCTTCCCACCAGGCCCTCAGCATGGCTCTGGGGCCATGTTACTACTTTCCAGTCTGGGTCCAGTCAGGTCCACCTCAGGGAAGTTCTCTACACTCTTTTACCTTCTCCCTTCACAGAACACCTTTATTGCGTCCCTCCAAAAAATATATATATATTTCCCCCACCCCCCCGAGTATAATATCACCTTCCTGCTCCTGCTCAATCTTTGGTTGCAGTGGGGATTGCAGCAAAGGCAGTGAGAAGGTTGCTGAGAGACACCCTGAGCCCCAGGACCCCCAGCCTGGGGCGGCTCCACTTACCCAAAGAGGAGAAGAGCAGCGCAGCCAGGATAGGACTGGGGCTGGATGAAGGAGCCCCAGGAGCCATAGCTGGGCCAGGGGCTAGGGCCCGGAGCGTCTGCGGGGTTGGGAGAGTGGGGGACAAGTAACTGAGCGGGGTGTTCCTGGAATCCGCTTAAAATCCCCTGGGGTGCCAGTATGAGGGGGCTGTCCTGAGCCAGTAACCAATTGCAGCCTGGCATGTGCAGTTGAGAGGTGGTGGGGAGGGGGGCAGAGCACAGGGAGCAGAAGGGGCATTGTGTCCTCTGGGTAGAGGGGTGGGGGGGACACATACCACCCCATACACAGAGGGCTTTGTGTCTGCTGGCCTCCCCCTGCCCTGGGCTGGAATGCTGGGGTGGGGGGGTTGAGAGGGAGAGGGACAGAAAAAGGGACATAAACACACTTCTCTGAGGGATAGATGGGCAGGGGAACCTAAATCCTAAGGCTCAGGGAAGGGATTCCTCTGTAGCTTCCTTACCAGAGAGTGGGTCCCCCAGAGAACTTGAAAATGGGATGTCCCTTGTTTTTTTGTGTTTTGTTTTGTTTTATGACTATGGGTTGCATTACAGGCTCCTTGAGATGACCAGGTCATTTGGGAGTCCTTTTTTTTTTTTTTTTCCATTTCCCTGCATCCTGGGTGATTCTTCCCTGATAGAGCTTTTCCCCATTGGAAAATATCCAGGAAAGAATCCCCTGAGCTTTCCCTCTTCATCAGAGAATTTTTCAATGCCTCACACTGCAGTTTAAGTCCATGTCAATTTAGAACAAGGCAACAAAATTGTATTGAGTGCCAGCTATATGTAAAGTATGGGTATGTGGGTAACAGAAAGAGAAATAAAAATTAAGTTTCTCCTTGAAAGAGTTTAAAATCTAGTTGGGGGGGTGCAGAGAAGGGAGGAGCAGAGGACGAACCCATCAATAACCCAATATAATAAACCATGATGCTTGCCATAGCAGAGAGAAGAACAAAATGCTGAGAATACCAAGGTGGGCTCAACCACGTCTGCTCGAATATGCCCAATACTTCACAAACGTCAGGGAGATTGTTATGTAACAGAGATTAAAAACAAAAGTAAACTGGGGCACCTGGGTGGCTCAGTTGGTTAAATGTCTGACTCTCGATCTCAGCTCAGGTCTTGATCTCAGGGTTGTGAGTTCAAGCCCTGTACTGGGCTCCACGCTGGGTGTGGAGCCCTAAATAAATAAGGAAATAAAATAAATGAAGTTCAGAGGAAGGGGGAGTTGTATGTAGAAGGCAATATTAGATATGGAAAGGGTAGTGAAGTATCTAGGCAGAATAGCAAAAGCAAAAACAAAGAAGTAGGAAAATGTGTGTGTGTGTGTGTGTGTGTGTGTTGTGTGTGTGTGTTGGGTAAGTTTGTGAAGTATTGAGCATATTCAAGGCAGATCTTGTGCCCTCCACTTTGACTTGATTTGGGGGAACTTGAAACAAGTCTGTACAGGAGAGTTGAAGCCAATTAGTTAAGGGCACTAAATGGCAGACAAAAGAGGGTGGGTTTAATTGGTACATCATAATGTTACATGATTTTTGTCCCCTTAGTGCTTGTGGTTCTTCATCATGCCACTTCAAAGAATGAAGAGGTAGACCAGATGAAGAGTGGTGGGCAGCAAAGCAAAATTTATGGAACAGTAGTATAAAGCTCCCAAAGAGGGAGGGGGGCCTGAGAGGGTTGCCCTCGGAGTGTCTAAGTTTAGGGGTTTTTATGAGCTCTTTTGCAGAACTGTCTTAAGCAATCAGGGTGTGCTGAGTCATGCCAATCAGGGCCTTGGTCATGTATCTGTCTACGTATTAGGTTAACGTCTCTGTGCTGATGGTCTTTTTTTGCTGACATCTGGGGGTTTAATGTCTTAACTGCCCTTTGCCCTGTGATACTGACAAATGCTTTGTGGTTAATTGCCTTAGTTTCAGACAATTTGCAGAAGTCATTTCTGCAAAGGTGTCAAAGCAGAACGTTAGTGTGGTCCTGTCTAAACTGCAAAACAGGGTGTTAGTGCTGTTTTATTTTAGCTGTCCTGACTCCATACTTTTTTGCTGGGGACCCTGGCCCTGACTACCTGTCCAACTAACTCCTAACAATAAGAATTTCCTGAAGGAGTAATATGTGGGGTTAGGGATGTCTACATGGTCAGAGCTGAGTTTTAAGACAAATCCGGCCAAAAAAATCATTCAGACCAAAGCACTGCAGATTGCTGCCTCCTTTGTTTCCCTCCTTGGGATTATCTGAAATGATTTTTTTTTTTCACTGAAACTCTCATACTCCCATTTGAAATGTTTTCCCTTCTTTCTTCCCCTTTCTTTCTCTGACCTCAGGCCTTGGCTAGACTCTGCTTTTCCCTCCTGCTTATTTTTAAGATAAACCCTGGTGATAAGGGGCTTGACTTAATATCTTGTTTGAGTTTCAATGTGATTAATTTCCATCAATTACGGGCCCTACAGGTTACTTTGAGGAGAGAGGCCACTGTTGTTCCCGCAGTGGGACCACTGCAGGTTCACCCGTAAAGCCCCAGGCTCCTGGTACCTACCTGTCATCTCCTTACATAGGGGATGGTGGGTTCTGTGACTGGTATTGGGTTTGGATTGTGGAACTCTAAATACGGGACTTGATCATAAACTCCACAGGCAAAATCATCAGTAAATGTTCACAGCATGTTGCTGTAGTCAATTACACCTCCCTAACCCCACCTCCCCAGCTGCAAATAATCACTTTCTACTTTCATCGACCCACCCCTTTTACCTATAGTTTCTTTCATGGGATTGCTACTTTCTTTGTTGTATTTATTTATTTACTAATTCTGCTAAGGCTATAAGCTTCTTGAGGACAATTACATGTTTGTATCTTTGAATCCCCTATAGCACTTTCACACACTCTGGCAAAAGATTATATATATATATATAAATATATATAACTATCTATATATAAAACTATATAGTATATATTATATTTTGTTATATATATAACTTTAAAGTTTTATATATATATATAACTTATATATGCAAAACACTTGGGACTTAAGAAAAAGGGAATGAGAATTAAATATTATATATATAAAAATATATATAAAATATAAAATATATATAACATATATATAATATATATAACTTATATACATATATAAAATGAAATTATTTAAAGAGCTAAGTGAAAGAGGCATTCATTGGATTTGTTAATGTGAAATGCCAGAGGGCCACAGTGGGATCAATGACGGGAAGTTCAATAGCAGAAAACTGTATTTTATTTTCTTACTTTTAAAGATTTTATTTGTAAATTGTCTCTACACCCAACGTGGGCCTTGAACTCACAACACTAAGATCCAGAGTCACATGCTGCACTGACTGAGCCAGCCAGGTACCCCCAGAAAACTATATTTTAACATAACAACTTTCTAATGATTAAGCTGTTCACTAAATGAAACTTGAGTTTTGAGGTATCTATTACTGAATGTGTTACAGCAGAGTCTTGAACACCAGTGGCCCTAAGTGTTGCCGAGGAGATCCCTGCACTGGATAGAAAATCAGGTCTGAGAGCCTCTCTGGTCTCTTCCAGTCCAAAAGTCTATAAAAGTGCTTTCATTGTCAAGTATTATAGAAATGCAAAATAGTATTTTCATTTGATGAAGAAATAAGTGAATTTGTGCTATTTAAATCCTGAAAGAAGTGCAGGAGTGCTAAATATAAATGAGATCTGAATATTAATGTAGCTGAATGTTTTATTGTAGGAGTTGCTCTAGGCTGTCTCCTTCACTCCTACCCCCCACAAAAAAAGAGACTCAAGAACTTTTTCATTTTCTGTTCCTTTCTCATTCCCTTTTTCTTCCTTAAGTCACAAGTGCTCTGCAATTGACTGCAGTGCTTGGGTTCCTCAAAACTATACATATGCACACACACACGTGTGTGTGTGTGTTTAAAAATCAAAGCAAGCTTTCCCCCACCCCGGGTTCTTCTAGCTGTGGGTGTCATCCACATAGCCTTGAAACAAGGAACAAAAGAGCGTTGTGTTTGACTAGTGGGCGTCCAGCTCAGGCGGCAGCTCAAGCCCAGGGACTGTAGGGCACAAAGCTAACCCAGGTGGTTAGAGGAGGCTCCCTGGTCTTGGGATGGTGGTCTGCATCGTTCTCACGCTCCTTCCTCAACTTGGGTCTCAACTTGTGTGTCTCTGCATTGGCGAAGCTTCCCACTGGAACGGGATGGAGCCCGTTTCCCTGGGTGCCTTGGCCGGCCTACGGGGGAAGGAGGTGGAGCGGAACTAGACTGAGAAGTCCCTGGTGAAGAATCAGGGCAAATCAGATGTTCAGTAGTGCGAAACAAAATGAATTATGTTCACAGGTAAAATGCACACTGTAGAGTCTGAGTCAGCGCCATTTATGCCGAACCCCTGGCAAATTCTGGTGGAAGCCAGCCGAAGGAGACCGGGCAGAGAGGAGTCAACCAGAGGAAACCAAGAGTCTGAACAAAGCTGCAACCCAGCCGCTCCCCATCCTTTATAAAGAGCTGGTGTTGTCACGTGATAGAGACCACGCCCTAAGGCGGCGGGGACGTTGGGCGTCACTTCCGTCCAGACCGGAACTCAAGATGGCTGCGCTCTTGTTGAGGTGACTTTAGCCCGGGGCTGGGAGCCGGTGTCCGCGGCCCTCGGGAGGCCTGCACTGCCCCTTACGTCTTGCTGACGGCGGTGTGTCCCGTGCCTGGGCAGGGAAAGGGCCCACGGTGTGCGTGCCGCGCGCTGTGGAATCCTAGGGCCCCTTCTCTTTCCCCAGTCGCTCCCGTACTCGGGGTCCCTGGCCCGTTATCTCGTCCCTACTCCCTACCGACGGGTCGCACGGTTGTCGCCCTTTCCACTTCCCCCCACTTCCGGTACTTTCGCCCCAGATGGCTCTCGGGGCCGCACCCAGAGCCAAGCTCGGAGAGAGTAAAGTTACGATTTCGAGGTCAGCGGATCATCCGCTAGGACTTCGAGGTCTTATTCAGGAATTGGGCCTCGGGGAGAGGGATCTTGGTGTGCTTTGTCTTTGCTTGTAACTTCTGCAAACGCTAGTTGCTGGCAATGAGTGTGCACTGCGTTCCTAACGGGCCCCGGGCGGAGGGGACAGGAAGCCTTGGATCCCTGTCGCGCTGGCGATTAGCAATAGCGCTCATAGCGGTCGCTCTAGTGGCCCACAGCAGCCCGGGGAATTCAATTTTAGTTTCTCTTTTTACTTGGGGAGAGAAGGAAGGGGGAGCGGATGTCTCAGTTTTCCTATACGAGGTCATTCACTGTCCGGGGAAGTACCCTAGATTTTCTTCCATTCTGAGCTGTCCTCTTTCTAGGCTCCATTCTGTATTCAGAGCCTTTGTAGACACAGCGACTTAAGTGACTTTAGACAGTCCTGGTACAAATGCCGGCTTAGTTTCGTGCCAGGCCTATTTTTGGAAAATATTTGTTATGGAAAGTTAGTTTTAATGTTGTTGAGATTTAATTCCTGATTTCCCCAAATGTCTTCTCATTTCTCTTTCCACTTCAGTCACCCAGTATAAAAATAGAGGGGCTTTATTTAGTTTTTCTCTGTGACAAAACGATCCCTCTTGGGAGTTGAGATCAGGAATGGGTTATCTT